GGGGCCTCTTCAGAGCAGGGACCAAGACGGGGGCCTCTTCAGAGCAGGGACCCTTCCTGATGGAGGTGAGGGATAGTGTCCCCGCTGTCACAGTGAAGTCTGCTACAGTGGTTCAGGCACCCACTCTCCGGGTTGTCACAGGATTGAAGGAGGGTGCATGGCACAGCGTGAGTGCCCAGTGAGGGTGGTCATGACCGTAGATGGCACCCAGCAGCGCTTGCTCAGTGGATACTTGTCTCTGGGGAAGCTGGGGGAGTGGGGAGGGGGTATGGAGTTTGTTTCTGAGGCTCCATTGGGGCAGGAGGGAATCTGGCTGGCGCCCCCACAGCGGAGGTGGCGGGGGAACCACAGGGCGGAGCCGGGGAGTGGCCTCTTACCTGTCCTGAGCCTGGCCTGGAGGCTGGGAGGGGTGCATCAGGCCTCCAGCGCCCTCCCTGCTCTGTGACGCAGGGCCCCAGGCGCACACAGGCCTCACACGGTCTGTCCTGGCCTCGGACCCGGGCGGACCATGGCGGCGCTGCGACTCCTGGCTTCAGCACTCGGGCGCGGGGTCCCCATCGGCGGCTCAGGGCTGGCGCTGTCCCAGGGCTGCGCCCGCCGCTTTACCACCAGCCCCCGGCGCCGCGCCAAGTTCTACAGGGACCCAGTGGAGATGGTGAAGGACATCCCTAACGGGGCGACCGTCATGATGGGGGGCTTCGGGCTCTGCGGGATCCCCGAGAACCTGATCGCCGCTCTGCTCAGGACCCGCGTGAAGGACCTGAAGGTGGTCAGCAGCAACGTGGGCGTGGAGGACTTCGGCCTGGGCCTCCTGCTGGCCACCAGGCAGGTCCGCCGCATCGTCTGCTCCTACGTGGGCGAGAACTCGCTGTGCGAGAAGCAGTACCTGGCGGGCGAGCTGGAGCTGGAGCTCACGCCGCAGGGCACCCTGGCCGAGCGCATCCGCGCGGGGGGCGCCGGGGTGCCCGCCTTCTACACCCCCACGGGCTACGGGACCCTGGTCCAGGAAGGGGGCGCCCCCATCCGCTACACCCCGGACGGCCACCTGGCAATCATGAGCCAGCCCCGAGAGGTGAGGGAGTTCCACGGCGACCACTTCCTTTTGGAGCGCGCCATCCGGGCGGACTTCGCCCTGGTGAAAGGCTGGAAGGCAGACCGGGCAGGAAACGTGGTCTTCAGGAGAAGCGCCCGCAATTTCAACATGCCCATGTGCAAAGCCGCAAACGTCACAGCAGTGGAGGTGGAAGAGATCGTGGACGTGGGGACTTTCCCCCCAGAAGACATCCACGTCCCTAACATTTATGTAGATCGCGTAATAAAGGGGCAGAAATACGAGAAGCGAATCAAGCACTTAACGATCCGGAAAGAAGAAGGTGCAGACGCCCTGAAGGAAGAGGACCCCAGGACGCGCATCATCAGACGCGCAGCTCTGGAATTTGAGGACGGCATGTACGCCAACCTGGGCATAGGCATCCCCCTGCTGGCCAGCAACTTCATCAGCCCCCACATGACCGTCCACCTTCACAGTGAGAACGGGATCCTGGGCCTGGGCCCGTTTCCCACAAAAGACGAGGTGGATCCCGATCTCATCAACGCAGGCAAGCAGACGGTCACGGTGCTTCCCGGGGGTAGCTGCTTCGCTAGCGACGACTCCTTCGCCATGATCCGAGGTGGACACCTCCACCTAACCATGCTCGGAGCCATGCAGGTTTCCAAATACGGAGACCTGGCCAACTGGATGATCCCTGGCAAGAAGGTGAAAGGCATGGGCGGTGCCATGGACTTGGTGTCCAGTCAGAAGACCAGAGTGGTGGTCACCATGCAGCACTGCGCAAAGGACAACACCCCCAAAATCATGGAGAAATGCACCATGCCGCTGACCGGGAAGCGGTGTGTGGACCGCATCATCACTGAGAAGGCTGTGTTTGACGTGCACAGGAAGAGAGGCCTGACACTGAGGGAGCTCTGGGACGGCCTGACGGTGGACGACATCAGAAAGAGCACGGGCTGTGACTTTGCCGTGTGCCCGAACCTCAGGCCCATGCAGCAGGTGGCACCCTGAGGGAGGCAAAGCTGGGCGGGGAGGTGCGCTCCTCAGGGGGCCCCACTAGGTTCCCCAGGGGCGTTGGTCACTGCAGGAATACATTTCCCTAGCGATGGGAGGGGTTTGCTGCTGGCCTCCAATTTTCTTCCCTAGGCGGATTGTGCTCTTCTAGAGAGCTGGGACTTTAATTAAACACACAAGGAAAACAGATCAGCTCCTCTCTGTGTTCCTCGAGCATTGCAAGGCGAAGGGCTGTAGCGGTGAGGGATGGGTGTCTGCTTTGTTCTGTGACATTTACATGGAGTGCACACAGCCCAAGCGCATCCATGGCAGGATTTCATTCAACCGCCTCCCTCAAACTCGAACTGTGAAATGGAGATAAAAATCGTGATGAAGGAGAAAATCACTCCACCTAGAGTACACTGAAAGGGCCATTTTACTATTGCAATGAGAAATAGGAGAGCCAAGATGTGAATTTGTGATTTGAAGACATGCTGTCTTGACAAACTTGTTTTTCTTTTTTGAGGCAGGGTCTGGCTCTGTCACTCAGGCTGGAGGGCAGTGGTGTGATCTCACTGCAACCTCTGCCTCCTGGGCCCAGCAACCCTCCCACCTCAGCCTCCTGAGTAGCTGGGACTATGGGCACACACCTGTGTATTAAAAAAATTAACAATGCCTGGTTAATTTTTTGTTTTTGGTAGAAATGGAGTTTCACCACGTTACCCAGGCTGGTCTCTAACTCCTGGGCTCAAGCATCAACCTGCCTCAGCCTCCCAAAGTGCTAGGATTATAGACATGAGCCAGCGTGTTGGGCCAATTAACCTTAACTTACTGTAATTTCTTTTCTCTTCTTTTCTTTCTTTTTTTCTTTTTTTTTAAGACAGAGTCTCATTCTGTTACCTAGGCTAGAATACAGTGGTGCAGTCTCGGCTCACTGCAACCTCCGCCTCCCAGGTTCAAGCAGTTCTGGTGTCTCAGCCTCCTAAGTAGCTGGGATTATAGGCATATGCCATGACAGCTGGCTATTTT